TCGTTTGAAGGCTTTGGGGTGTGTGTGTGTGTGGGAGGGGGGTCCCTCCTGCCTTTGTGCGGGATATTTAGGCCCAAGTGCCAGGATGCAGAGCACGTTCATGGCATGTATCCTGAACTACTCACATTAAAGCAAAACTAAGAAAGAAATTTACACAAAACTTCGTTTGAAGGCTTTGGGGTGTGTGTGGGGGGGTGTTGGAGGAGTTGTCCCTCCTGCCTTTGTGCTGGATATTTAGGCCCAAGCGCGAGGATGCAGAGCACGTTCATGGCGCAGCACATGAGACTTGAAGAGAACTGTTGCCTTTTTCCAAACACCCCAACTACTAGTAACACCAAGCAGCACAGCACCTTTAATCCTTGTTTCACATTTTGAGAGCTCTGTGCACAGATGGATTTTTTTTTTAATATATAGGCTCTCCTCTTTTTTCTAAAGTTCAGTAGCATTCCCAGTACCATCTCATCACTGTTTTCTTTCCTACCTCCTTTTTAAGAATCAATATCCAATTTGGTGAGTATTTTGTTCATAAAATGTGATTTTCCCTTCTGCATTTAAAAAACAGAGTATCAGTCTAACATCTCCATACAGAATTCAAGCAACACATTTATGTAATTCATTATTATTATGCATGTTTTGTTAACTTTCAGCATACTTTTGCTGTTCTTATAGTTACTGTAAAACAAATGTACAATGACTGAACTCTATTTTTTTTCCTAACACAAGAGAAAAAACACTGAATCAAGAGCTGCCTTCATCTTTTACCTACAGCTGCCTTAAGGAATCTGTTTCTCAGGGAAACTGAATAAATTAAAGTTGCCGGCCTGGCAAAAAATCTGCATGACCAGGCATGCCAGCTGGAACACTGAAAAACAAAAAAGCTTCTCCTTCCCCCCTGCAAAAAGCCCCAGACTCAAAAGAAAAGGTATTTCTTAAGTCTGCACCCCAGGAGTTTATATCCATGATATAAGAAGTACAAAGTAGAATTTTTCAAGCTCAAACACAGTATTAACGAGATTATGATAATACTGCTCCTTTTCTAATCAGTTGATGCTGCTTTTAATGAAACAACTGTAAACACACACAATCTAATTGCACTCAGCATCTCAACAGTTCAATAAAAACATGGAAACAGAAATTAAAAAAATACAAGATAATTTGCAGCTAGTATCAACTTTAGATTTTACAAATTGTGCTCTAGAAATATCCAATGAGAGCTGTAACTGTGATCTCAGCCAAAATTCTTATGCTTGTTAGAAACTACTATGCTTTGAGCTGCAGAAAGAGCTCATTCAGGGCCTGGTTCAGGGAATGCATCATGTTGTTCTGGCTCATGAACAATGTCAAATGTTGAATCCAATCTCAAGTAATAAAATGATTTAGAAAGAAGTCTGCAAGATCTCTCAGGCCTGATATTGGTATGATAACATCCCAGTAAAATTTAATTGCAGATTTAAGCATCTGATTATAATACTATAGCATTTTAGACCGAAGCAAAGAATTTTAATGGGAAGTAGAAAAAATATTTTTCCAAGTTGTTCGCAAAACTATCACTACCACATTGTTGGATACTGCAGGGACCCGCTGATTGCAAATACTACCAGGGAAGGAATTTTAAAAAGAAAAGTGCTGCAGAAAAGTGCAGGTGGGTAAGTAGCTCCCTTTCTTAATCCTCTGTAGATTTTAAATGCACTTTAGCCGTAACAGAACAACAGTTCACTTCAGTGATGACACTTGCAGTAAAGTTCAATAGCAAAATATCTCACAACAGCACACTGTTTTTAGAATATGTTTAAAAGTCCCAGTTTGGTTCATAACTACCTCATTCCATCACAACTCACTCAAGTTTTCCTTTAGCTTCATCAGTTTTAAGATTTATTACAGTACTTGTGAAAGCCTCTAAAAGGATGTGTTCATCACTGCTTTAATCTTTGTACAAGCTCTTGTTAAAGAAAATCAGTATTACCAGTATGATGATAGAATTTTGATTTT